TTACAGTGTGAGACCTTGTCTCAGCAAAAAGAAAACCAACAGCGTATCTAGTGCCTAAGCCTGTAACCCTTGCTACTTTGGGGGTTCAGACAGGAGGATCACAAGTTCAAGGCTAGCTTGGGCTACAGAGTAAGTAATAAAGAGTAAAATAAGAGGGATAGAGATGTAGTTCTGTGGTAGAATGTCTGCCAAGCATTGTTCAGTTCAGTTCCTAGTATGATAAAAACAAACAGGAAAAAATAATCAGATTTTTAAAACCATTATCACATTGAAAGATTTTATGAATTAAAGGCAGGGTTTCTCTTTATCTCTGGCTGTCCTGAAACTTACTCTGTAGACCATGCTGGTCTTGAACTCAGAGATTCTTCTGCTTTTGTCTCCCTAGTGCTGGGATTAAAGGCACAGGCCACTACCATCAAGTTCTAATGAGATCCTATTGTGTACGTGCAAACACTCTGAAAATTTAAAATGCTCCATTAAAATGTTAATGAAGGGTAACTTTGAACTTCTAATCCTTCTGCTTCTACCTCCCTTCAGGTTACAGACTAAGATTATAAATGTTTCACCAAACGTGTGTGGTACTGGAGAGCAAACCAAGGGCTTCCTGTGAACTGCGTTAGCATCCTACTAATTGAGCTGTGTCCCCGGCCTCATAGCAGTGGATTTAGATGTAGACATTCTGTGTAGTGTGCATTAAAGCAGAGCTTTCCAACAGCGAAATTCTTACTTCCCTCTACATGCAGTCTGTTGTTTTAATCATAAGAATTTTTCAAAGGAGGGAAAGGATTCTTCTGCTGAATTTATACTATAAAGTGTAATCTTGTCGGTTAAAAAAAATCCCAAACTTTTGAGATAGGGACTTGCTGTGTATCCCAAGTTGGCCTCAAATTCAAGTGTTTCTCCTTCCTCAGACTTCCAAGTGCTGAGCCATCATTCTTAACTTCAAAATACAAGAATGAGATTGTTCTGGGACTTTCTTTGGACCTCCAGTTCCCAAATAATGACACAGAGACTGTTTAATTATGAAAGCTTGGTCTTAGCTTAGGTTTGTTCCCAACCAGCTCTTATAACTTAAATTAACCTGTTTATATTAATTCCACATGGCTCATTACCTCTCTTCCATACTGTATGTCCAGTTCCCTCCGATTCCACACACACCAGGTTCTTCCTGAGTTCCTCTCTCCCACCGAAGTCCCGTGTATTCTCTCCTGACTGTTGATCATTAAGCTCTTTAGTAAACCAATCAGAAGGTGCTTTAGGCAGACACACATCTTCACAGTGTACAAAATATTACCGCATAACATGAGATATATTGCAGTAAACTAAAAGATCCACTGGCTGTATTTGTGATTCTTCCTGCTTGAGTGACAGTGTGATTTGTGCTTAAGTAAAAGATTAGTTCCATTCGTTGAGCACAATTCAGCATTTTTCTGACTGTCAGATAAACTATATTAAATCATAGTACCTTTCCTAGCTAAGATGTCATATTATTAAAAACACTTTACCTTTTCTCTTTCATTTGTGATCACAGAAATCCCAGGGAGAAGGTGGGAAAGTCAGTCATACATTAGGACGCTCTTCAAATGGAAGAGCTCTTTCATAGGGCAGGGGATTCTTGTACATCTTACTTCTCCTGCATGTTGTCTAATGACAAATTTACTTATTGCTTGGGATTTGGAAACTGTTTTCTGTCTCTGTGGCCATTCATAATGCTTTGTCAGTGACATGCATTGGGATATAAAGAGGTTGTACCAAGGGCAGTGCAGTTGAACTGAAGAACCTCTGTGGAGAAGTGTAAGGCCAGTTGGTGTTGAGAGGGGAGAGCCCTTGTGTTGGTGGACACGTTGTCTGGGTTCTCATCCCCTTGGACAGAGCTAGTGGTGCCCATTTCTTGGGTTAGGTGATAAAAGCTTAGAAAAGTGTATCATGTTCTATGTGGCTCCAAGTGTGGGCTCTCCCTCCAAGAGCAAGTCTCAGCCCTAATTAGAGCCTAGGTTTGGAAACCTTTTTTCACTTAATGTAGATCAGGAATTTCTCTTCCCTGTCAGCTTTGCCTGGATGATGCTTTATGAATGACATCTCAATCGTGTGTGTGTGTGTGTGTGTGTGTGTGTGTGTGTTTCAGCTGATACTGTGGGTATTCCCATGTAAGGTGGGGTATTCTGGGAATGGTGGCATGTTTTTCCTCCTGTCTTCTAGACCAGTGGGGTGCCTGTAACAACAAAAGGATGAGGCTGTGGAGCCTTAGGTGCTGATTTTCCAAGGTAAAAGGTCTAAGTCACTTGTTCTGGTAGCATAGTTGCTTTCTGCTTTAAATGCAGTCACAAGGCTGTGTGTGTGTACGTACTTTCTTTTTAAAACTGTCTTACCTTACTTAGTGCTTGGCTGCCCTGGAACTCACAGATATCCACCTGTCTCTGCCTCCAGAGTATTGAGATTAAAGGTGCGTGCCATCATACCAGTACTGCATATTTTTCTCGAAGAAAGTTTCTTGGGTTAGAATCTGCTTTGGTGAAGAAACACGTTTGATTAGAGTCTCCTGTACATTGTTACACTCCTGTCTAGGAACAGAATGGATTTCTTTCCTCAAAGAGTTTCATCATTTCAAGGATCGAAGAAGGCTGGCCCTGTGGAGGGTGCTTCTGGCACTCCCGGGTGGCTGGAGCCCTGACTTCCTGGCTCCATGAGGAAAGCACAACGGCTCCCACGTCACCAGTGAGGAAACAGAGCTACAGAAAGGATACTGCCTTACCGGGGTCACATGCTAACTTTTGGTGGCCTCAGACCCCTGCTTCCACAGCTGGGCTCATGACAACTACCCAGGCACGAATGCCTTTGAGGCTGACAGACAGATGCCCCTGCACAGTTTCTCTAGGAACAAAGTGAACACTGTTGTCACGTGCAGAGGCTGCAGTGTGGTGGGGAGAATGGGAGAGTGGCACAGGGAGCGGTCTGCTGTGAGGCCCAAGGAAAGGTGATTCACCTAGGAGTATGGGGTTCTTTTGGAGGGCTGGGCACTTTGCTCCACAGACCATTGGCGTTACTGTTGCTTCTTGAGCTGTGAAGCTGGTGGGAGCCGTGGTTGCCTCTTTGTAGTTTTGTTCCCTTCTGGTTTCTTAGTCCCAGCCTGGCTTTTGGTTTGTCAAGCTGCACAACCCATAATTTTCATAGTTAACGATAGTAGACTTGGTGATACATTTGAACTTAATAGATCCCCATTTACTGCTTTCACTTTGAAGCTGGCTTCCTTACCTGTAAAGTTTGCTAATAAACCTAAGAAATTTGCCTACTCTGCATTTTACTGCTATAGACATTCGGGATACATGATGATTTTGGCTTTTTGAAAACATGAACTTGAATTTTAATTTATCCCAACTTAGCCTTTAGCATCATGAAACGGAATAACAGTATGTAAAAATTGGAAGAAATTTAGTTGGGCTTATGATTACCGAGTGGTTTGTTGATGTTGTTTTGAAAGTAGACAGCTAAAATATGGAACAGCGGAGTTCCAGGACAAGGCCCACTGGGCCTGGCCCCTACCCTGTTCAGAAATCCTCGGCAGTGCTCTTGTGCTGAGGGCTTGTCAGTATGACCTGTATTTCTGGGAGATACAGTCCACATTTCACTGTACCCAGTGAAGCCCTCTGGGCATAGTAAAATGTGTATGCTTTCAACTCTGTGATTCTGCATCCTTATCCTTGATATTAATGACACCAGCAGACACTGATGCCCTTCTGTCTGCCTGCCACTACGTCATGGGAAATCTTTCATGAAGGCTTCATTGTTGTGTGGCAAAGCAGCCCTGTTATTACCCCATTTTTATGGATGAGTGATTGTTTACACTCAGAAGTTATATAAATGTCCCAGGAACCAATAGCTCGTGAGCCTCCTAGCTAGATTTAGACCCTGGCTACAAGGGCTCAGAGGTAGCGCCCACCTTTGCCATGTTCTGTCCCCAGCACAGAAGCTGAATACACTGGGTACCCATGTCCACGGTGTATAGCAGGTGGTTAGGAGAGTCTTAGAGGGCACCTTCTTACTGGGGATATAGCTCAGTTGGTAGAGTGCTTGCCTAGAATGCACGAAGCCAGCATGAGGTTCAGTTCCCAGCACCACAGAAACTGGGCTGGTAGTTTATGCCTGTAATCCCTGCACTCAAGAGGTAGAGGCAGAAGGGTCAGGAGTTTAAGGTCATTCTTGGCTACATTTCAAGTTCAAGGAATAGGATACATGAGACCCTGTCCCAAAAAGTAAAGCTGGGCATGGTGGCACATACCTTTGGTTTCAGCATTTGGGAGCAAACACAGGTAGATTTCTGAGTATGTGGCCCACCTGGTTCACATATCAAGTTCCAGGGCAATCAGAGCCGTGTAGAGAGACCATCTCCAAAAGAAAAAAAAGTAAAGAAAGAACATTTTAAGTCTCATATAACCAAGAACTGACTTTTTTTTTACTTGAGGAGAAATCTTTTTTTTTCCCCGAGACAGTTTCTCAGTAGCTTTGGAGGCTAACCTGGAATTAGCTCTTGTAGACCAGGCTGGCCTCAAACTCACAGATCCGCCTGCCTCTGCCTCCCGAGTGTTGGGATTAAAGGCATGTGCCACCACCGCCCAGCTATGAGGAGGAATCTTTTACCTAAAGTTTGTCTCCATCATGACAGCTGTCAGACATTGACTTGGTGACTTAGACTCCGGAGTGCTTACCTGACTTGTATTCCCAGCCCTCGGCAGAGCAGCTGTTTCCCAGGCTGTCATGTATGCTCATGTATGTATGTTCATGTGACTGTTAGGGCAGTGCAAAGATACAGGTGTTTCCCAGGCTGTCATGTATGCTCATGTCTATATGTTCATGTGACTGTTAGG